CTTCTGCTGCTTCTGCTGCCGCCGCTGCTGCTCTGGTCTGACGCAGGTTGATGCGCAGCAGCAGCTTGCAAGGGAGCAGTCAATTTCCTACGTGCTAGCGGTGGCCGTGTTTCTGCTGCTGCTGCTGCTGCTGCTGCTGAGGCTGCTGTCCTTACTGCTGCAGCCTCAACTGACGCTGTAGCTGCTGCTGCAGCTGCTGCTGCCGCTGCTGAGACGGAAATCGACACTATCTCGTGCCTCACGCATGCAGCAGCAGCAGCAGTAGCAGCAGCAGCAACAGGAGCAGCAGCAGCAGGAAAATCGACACAACAAAGCCGCCGTGGCCTGAGGCGTGGGGCCCCAGCCAGAGCAGCAAAAGAAAACAAAAATCGGCGTGTCATGATCCGCCTGTTGCTTCTGCTGCTACTACTGCTGCTGCTGCTGCTGCTTCGAGTCTAGGCCACAAGCAACAGCAGCAGCAGAAACTGCAGCTGCTATCGCAGGTGCCAGTTATGTGCAGTAAGACACGAGACCAGGAAAAAATGGAAAAAAAGGCCCTGGCGCTGCTGCTGCTGCTGCTGCGGCTGCTGCTGCTGCTGCTGCAGCTGCTGCTGCTGCTGCTGCTGCCGCTGTGGAGGCGGCGGAAGCGGTCTAGTCTATACAATGAAGCGGCAGCAATCTTGCCGCTGCTTTTGCTGCTGTTGCTGCTGCTAGTGCTGCTGCTGCTGGTGCCGCTCAAAAGGCGGCGGATCCATTGTTGCTCAGCCAGCCAGTCAGTGACTGTCTGATTCAGTTGCTGCTGCTGCTGCTGTTGCTGCCGCTGCTGCCGCTGCTGCCGCTGCTGCCGCTGCTCCCGCTGCTGCTGCTGCTGCTGCTGCTGCTGCTGCAGCTGAACTAGAGACGAGTCAAGGTCACTGAGGGACCCTCCGTTCTCTCGGAGGGTTCCTTAGACTGTCTACACATTTTAAGGGAGCAGCGGCCCTACCCAAGTGTTGCTGCTGCTGCTGCCGCTGCTGCTGCTGCCGCAGGTCGTTCAGCTGCCGACGCTGCTGCTGCTGTTGCTGCTGCTGCTGCTGCTGCTATTCGGGCAGCTGCCACTGTTGGCCCTTCTGCTACCACCGCCGGTGAGTCGACCAATTGTCTGCATGCAGCAGGTCTTGCTGCAGTTAAACGCCAGGAGCAGGAGCAGCAGCAACAGCAGCAGCAGCAGCAGCAGAAAGCGCGCGGCGGCCTGAGAAGGTTGGGATTCAAAGGCTGGTTCCGTCAGTACCTTCTTCTGCTAAGCAGTAATTCACTGGCTCTCTGCTGCTGCTTTTGCTGCTGCTTCTGCTGCTGCTGCTGCTGCTGCTGCAGAAGGTAGTGTGCCTCTTTCAGGTGTACATACACTGCGGTGAGCCGCACCGGCCACCACGCAGCAGCAGCAAAAGCAGCAAAGGAAGAAAGTGAAAAATAATAATTAAAGATAATAATAAATATAATAAATAAATGCTATTCTTAATGCAGCGAGTCCTAAGCCCTGCAGCTGGCCCGGCCCGGCCCTGCGCCTCCGGGTCTGCTGCTGCACTTTGCTGCTGCTGCTGCTGCTGCTGCTGCTGTGTTGTTCTTGTTGGTTTTGCTCAGTGGCCCTTCTGGGCTGACAGAAGATCCGCAGACGGACTGATGGAAGCCAGAGCCGCTGCTGCTGCTGCTGCTGCTGCTGCTGCTGCTCGCCGCGCTGTTGCTGCTGCTGCCGTCTCGCTGGCTTTGTTGCTGAGACACAGACAAAGAAGAGCCTGCGGCTTTTGCTGTTTATTCCAACGGCAACTCCTGCTGCTGCTGGTGCTGCCCTCCTGAGGCTACTGGCTGCTGCTGCTGCTGCTGCTGCTGCTGCAGCGAGGCTCACGCCGGCTGCCAGTGAGCGGCTGGGAGCGGGCGGCCGCTGCAGCAGTAGCAGCGCAGCAATTGTGTCTTTTATTCCTTTTTAAAGTTGCAAATATATTTTAACTTTTAAAAAATAAAAAGAAATACTTAAAAGCTGAATAGTCCCGCAGACAGCAGCAGCGCAGCGGGCGGCCGCGCGGGAGCCACTGCAGCAGGCAGCAGAATACTGCAGCAGCACGAGCAGCAGCAGCAGCAGCAGCAGACCGCTTTAAAGTCACTCAAATATGGCTTTTTCGGTGCTTTTAATATATTTAAATATAATATATTGTCAAGTTTTAAATATAATAAAAGAAAAGACCAACAGGGGGCCCCTGGGGCCCCCGCCAGATCTGCTGCACCAGCGGTCACCTCTCTGCCCCCGGCGCTGCGGTGAGCAGCAGCAGCGGCAGCAGCAGCAGCAACAGCAGCAGTAGCAGCAGCAGAAACAGCCATATCAGCAGCAGCAGCGGCAGCAACAGCGGCAACAGCTGCTGCTGCTGCTGCAGCAGCAGCAGCAGCCAGGGTCACCTGCGGGTCACTGCGTGTGTTTGCTGCTTTTGTCTTTTTGCATTTAATTCATTTAAATGAATTTATTTCTTTTTTTTCCTTTTTGTCTTTTTCGACTTTTTCCCAGCTTCGCAGCTGCATGCATGCATTTAAAATACCTAACACTTTACAAGTACCTCCAGCAGCAAAATAAATAAATAAATAAATAAATAAATAAATAAATAAATAAATAAATAAATAAACAAATAATAAATGATGCAAATATAAATTTGGATAATAATAAAAAGTACAAATTAAAATGCTGCACAAACTTTGTTGCTCTTTTGCTGCTGAGCTCTCCCCCTTAAATTTCTCAGTGGCTCTGCTGTTGCTGCTGCTGATGGTGCTGCTGCTGCTGCTGCTGCTGCTGCTGCTGCTGTAGGTGAGGCAGCTGCTACTGCTGCAGCTGCTGCAGCTACTGCTGATGCTGCTGCTGCTGCTGCTGCTGCTGCTGCTGCTGCTGCTGCTGCTACTGCAGCACAGCAAGAGCGGCAACGACAATGTAGGTCTGCTGCAGCAGCAGCAGCAGCAGCAAGAACAATTCAAGTCAGCTGCTGCTTTCTTCTGCTGCTGCACCAAAGGAATTTCTGTAAATTCTTTGTTAAACAAATTAATGAAGAAATACTTAAAATGGCATTTGCAAGAAAACGTTTCAATAAAAATATAAATAAATGCAAAAAGCCTTCTAGAACTTCTTTAAATGGTAAAATTTCATTTTTTAAATTAAAAGAACTGCAGCAATTCGAACAACAAGTGCCAATTTGCTGCCAAACGAAATAATTAAAAAATCAAATTTTGCAGCAGCAAATTAAAATTGCTTTTTTACTTTTGCTGCAGTTTGAAACACTGGGAAGCAGCGCATGCAAAATTTGCAAAAAATATAATTGCAATGAAATATGATTTAAAAGCAATTCAATACAATTAAACAGAATTCGATATAATCAAATATAATTAAATATAATTAAATGCAATTAAATATAATTAAAATATAAGTAAATGCAATTAAATAGAATTAAATATCATCAAATTTGATCAGAAGGAGGCAAATGCATGCGCAAGCATGCGCTGCATTTTTGTCTCCAAAAAGACACCAAGAGGGTCAAATTATTTTTATTTTTTAAACAAAATAAAATTAAACATTTATAAAATATTTATAAAACCTTTATAAAACAAAAAGGAACAAAAGGCGAACATTTTCCAAACGCATGCGTTTTTCCGCAGCTGTACAGACACCCGAGCGGCCGCTGAGGTGTACAGACACCCCGGCCAAGTCCCGGAAACTCTTCGCTTTTTTACTTTTGCATTTTTATTTATTTATTTATTTATTTATAATTAAATGCATTTCTATATTTAAATCTGTGTATACATAATGTAAATACAAATACAAATACCACTATAAATATAAATACAAATATTAATATAAATATAAATACAAATATAAAAATAAATACAAATATAAATATAGATATAAATACAAATATAAATATAAATATTAAATCAAATATGTATTTAATTAGTAAATCCCTTTCTGTTGTGCTTCCCGTTTGCTTCCTTCTATTGACTGAGACCTAAGTAGCTGCTGCGTCTGCAGCAGCAGCAGCAGCAACACCGCCACTAGAGCACAGCAGCAGCAGCAGCAGCAGCAGCAGCAGCAGCCACACCAGCAGCAGCAGCAGCAGCAGCAACAGCAGCAACACTGAGCAGTGAATGGTAGCAGGTGGGGACAGTGGGGCCCCACAGGCAGCTTAGGGGGCCAAGGGGCCCCCAATTAGGCAGCTCGACAGACATGGAGAGCAGCAGCAGCAGCAGCAGCTGCTGCTGCTGCTGCTGCTGCAGCAGAAGCAGGTGACCACTGGTCACAAGCCCGGCTGCGCAGTGACTGTTGCTGCTGCTGCCGCAGCAGCCATTGCTGCTGCTGCTGGGCTGCTGCTGCTGCAGGTCTTTGCCTGCATTTGCTGCTGCTTTCGACAAATAAAGCAGCAAAAAATAAAACTTTTTAAGTAATTTAATTTAAAATGTTTTTCTTATAAAATTAACCGGGGGGCCCCAGACGCAGCAGAAGGCGGCTTTGGCGGGCCCCACGGGGCCCCCCAGCTGCCACCGCAGCAGCAGCAGCAGCAGCCACAGCAGCAGCAGCAGCAGCAGCAGCACCAACAGTACATTAATAATAGATTATGAAAGTTGTGTATGGGCAGCTGCGTGAGCTGTCTGTACACCTCACCTTGTGGGCCTCCCGTCCCGCCGCCTTCTGCGGAGAATCATTTTCTCAAAGGAATTAAGTTATTTCTTTTCATTTATTTCTAAAATGTTTATTTGATTTATATTTTGGGCTGCACGGCCTTTTTTGTGCTGCGGCAGCAGCAGCAGCAGCAGCAGCAACGGCTACGCAGCAGCAGCAGCAGCAGCGGCGCTCGCAGCAGCAGCTCCGCCTTTCCCCACTTTTGCCCTGCAGCTGCAGCAGGCCCTTCTAGTACTGCTGCAGACATCGATGTTCTTCTTTGAAGCAGCACTACACAAGCAGCAGCAGCAGCAGCAGCAGCAGCAGCAGCAGCAGCAGCAGCAGGTGGGAGCCTCTGATGAATCGGCGGCGGCGCCACTCAACTGCTGCAGGGGTGAGGGGCCCCTCTGCAGACAGCAGGGGCCCCTCTTTAGCCCAAAGACCCTTGCGAGACTTTGGGGGGCCCCCGGGGGGCCCCCCAAAGTGGCCTCCTGGGGGCCCCCCTGGGGGCCCCGGGAGCCCCCCCCTCTTAAGGTCGGGGGGCCCCCCTCAGTTTGAAAGAAGGGGCCCCCCAGGGGAGGGCTGGGGGCCCCCAAGAGAGGTCAGGGGGCCCCCAGTTTTGCTGCATAGAGAGGCTGGGGGGCCCCCCGAGGGGCCCCCCAGGCGGCTGTACCCTATTCTGAGGGGCCCCCCAACCCACGGGGAAGGGGGGGCCCTCTGGAGGCCTCCAGCGAAGAGGGGCCCCCCTACAGATGAGGGGGCCCCCCAGCGGCTCTGTGCTGCAGCAGCTGCAGCAGCAGCAGCAGAGGAGCAGCAGCAGCAGCAGCAGCAGCACAGGAGGCGGGTCATTCTACAGGAGGCCCCAAGAGCTGCAGCAAGAAGCTCCCATAGTTGTGCTGCTGCACCTCGCGGAGAGGCAGAAGCAGCAGCAGCAGCAGCAGCAAGAAGTGCTGTAGCAGCAACAGGGGACGCAGCTGCTGCAGCTGCTGCAGCAAAGAACAAAGCTGCAGCGCACAGAGAAGCAGCAGCAGCGCAGCAAACTCGACAAGCCAAAAGGGAAACAGCAGCAGCAGAAGCAGCAGATGCTGCAGCTGGCAGCAAAAGGAGGGAAGTGTCCCGAAGAGTTGTTGCAGCAGCAGAATATGCGGCAATAACAGCAGCAGCAGCAGCAGCACCAGGTGAAGCAGCAGCAACAGCAGCAAAGCGAGCCGCAGCAGCAGCAGCCACTAAGTCCGAAGTAGCAGCAGAAGGAAAAGGATCAACGGAGATTAGTAGAAATACAGGGGCCCCGAAAACAGCAGCACCAGCAGCAGACGTGCCTGCTGCTGCTGCTGCTGCTGCTGCTGCTGACACTAAATCAAGCCCAGCAGCAGCAGCCGCTGCAGCAGCAACGCCAGAACCAGCGTCAAATGAAGCAGCAGCAGCAGCAGCAGCAGCAGATAAGTTAGCAGAAGGAGCTGCAGCAACGGACAATCGCGCTACGGCGACAAAAGGGGCTGCTGATAGACCAGCAGCAGCAGCAGCAGGCAGAGCAGCAGCAGTGGCAGACAGAGCAGCAGCAGCAGCGGGAAGCCCTGCTGCAGCAAGCAGCATAGCAGCAGCAGAAGCTCCGCCGTTGACAGCAAGGCGAACTGTTGTGCTGGCCTCTAGGGCTCAAGCAGCAGCAGCAGCACGTGCAGCAGCAGCAGGTGCAGCAGCAGCAGCAATAGCACCAGCAGCAGCACGTGAGAAGCAGAGCGGATCCCATGCATCAACAACGGAATCACCTGCTGCTGCTGCTGCTAGTACCGCTGCTGCTGCTGACTGTGCCACACCACGTGCAGCGGCAACAGCTCTAACAGAAGCAGCAGCAGCAGCAGCAGCAGAGACCTCACCAGCTGCAGCAAAAGCAGCACGAGGAGGAGCAGCAGCAGAAGCAGAAACCCCCGTTGCGCCGGGTCCTGCAGCAGCAGCAACAAAGACACCAGCTGCAGCCACACCATCTCCAGCTCCAGCAGCAGCAGCAGCAGCAGCAGCAGCAGCAGAAGCAACTGCACAAAAGCCTGCTGCAGTTCGCCGCAGGAGATGTGACTGGAGCGATGCAGCAGCAACAGCAGCAGCAACACAAGAAGCAGCAGCACCTGCAGCACGAGCAGCACCGATGCGAGAAGCTGCAGCACCGGCAGCAGCAGCAGCAGCAGCAGAATCCCCAGTAGCAATGGCCGCAGCAAAGCCAGCAGCAGCTGCTGCAGTAAGCATCATCGGGCTAGGGATCTTCGTTTATGCAGCCAGCAGAGCTTATATGTTTGGAATAGAGCGTTTAGGGTTTAGGGTTTGGGGTTTAGGGTTTAGGGTTTAGGGTTTGGGGTTTAGGGTTTAGGGTTTAGGGTTTGGGGTTT